TGTGTTTGTGTGTGTGTGTGTGTATTCAGTATGTGTGATAAGCATCATAGGAAATCACCACCACACAGCTTACAGTATGCAAACACATGTCTTGCACACATATGTTTTGGCATAAAAAGCGAGTATAAGCTATATAGTAGGACCTTTAAATTAAACTCTGTTTACTCCTGGAAAGAATTGTTGTGTTGTGGAGGACATCTGCCTGGAAGAAGGCCAGCTCTAGTTACATCAACCTCACTCATCACAAAGGCTTTTTTAAAAGACCCCCTCCAGTTTGCCTACCAACCAGATGTCAGAGTGGTCGATGCCTTCACATAGCGTTTACCGTGCCTACACCCACTTGGAAAGACCAGGGGGCGCAGTCTCTTCTCTGAATTCTACAATGGCTTTAACACCATTCACTCTGCCCTGCTGGGGAAGAGGATGACTCATGTAGATTGATGCTCCTCTGGTGTCTGGAACTACCTCACCAAACGTCCTCAGTATGTGCACTCTCAGAAATGAAAGTCAGACACAGCGGTGAACTCCACAGGGGACTGTTCTGTCTCCTTGTCATTTCACCCTGTGCACCTCGGACAGGTACAATACAAAGACCTGCCAACGGCAGAAGTTCTCCAATGACTCTTCAGAAGTTAAATACATCAGGGGGGAGGATGTTTCAGAGCATCAGAGCATGGTGGACAGTTTTGTGCACTGGTGTGAGGAGAACAACCTGTAGCTTCACATCAGCAATAAAGATGATGGTTGAGGACTTCAGGAGATCCAGGACTCCTGATACTTCTTGTTCCATTAGGGGGAGAGACGTTGGAGATGGTTTCAGGAGAGGCAAATATCTGAATGTCCACTCGAGGGCAAAGTGGACTGGACCAGGAATGTTACAGCTCTCACAGGAAGGTCCAGAGTATGCACTTGTTTTTGGGAAAGCTCCAATCCTTCAACATTTCGTAAACATCATGGCTCCATGGGGTGGAGCTGGACCCTATGCATGTGGTCGTCGCAGAGCAGAAGAAATCTCCTGTTCATTATGGACATCTCCCACCCTAAACAGTGTTCTGGTTGGCCCGAGGAGCAGATTCAGCAAACTTGTAAATGTTTCTAATCACTTGCTGTATGATGAGAAATTGTAACAACTATTTTCCTGAAGATATCAATAGTGTTTCTGATTTAAATTCTGTAAAACTCTTTGATCAATTGTTATCGAATCATACAATGAGCTTTTATGTAATTATGATTTATCAAGGTTGTGTGAATACTGACTTGTCTACAGACCACAGCACACCTACAGAAGTGCTGCCAAGGCCAAAGTTTCCCATGGTTGTGACAATATATTTGAAAAGGTTAAGAGAGGATACAGGACTGAGTTGATGGAGCAGGCGCAGTAAAGGTGCAACCAAACATCTGGTCTGCTTCAGACTTAAACCTCAACCCTGTAACAGCCAACAGGTTGTTGACTGAGGACCTCAGATGTGAAGCGCGATAAAGAGACAGCAATTCAGTGATATAGTTGTGGGCCAGGCCAACAAGTGTGTTGAGTAAATCTTAGAAATCTGTAATAAACCAATGTAAAGACTTTAAAAGAGCAATGTGATCCCTTAGCTTGTTGTTTTGTTAGTGTTTTAGTTCTGTGAATTATTTTGTGACTCATGCCAGTTGTGAGATCAAGACTGTAATCTACACGTGAGGAAATGAAAACATGCACAGTGGATGGAGTCTCCGGAGCTCAGAAATGAACAGATTTTGTCAGTGTTCCTTAGATGATAAAAACAAGATTGGATGACATTGCTCGTTTGCAATTCAAAATGAACACAGCCAGACTTTTGACAAAAGGCTCAAGAGGACTGTGAATGTGTGGGTACAGGTTGTATGGGCCAATGGTAAGAATTACACACTTGAGTAAAGCCTGAATTGAATGTGTAGTTTTAAAGTCAGTTGTTCTATAGGGTTGAAACACTATTGGATCTTTACTGGGAGATGTAGCTGTGAGTCATCAGGAGCAATCATTAAAAACAGTGACAATCATTCTCTTTTCTCTTTTTTCCACAGAAATGTTCAATGTCATCCTGCTCAGTGACAAGAAATAAAAAAACGTGATAGGGAGAATCAGGTGGTAGTGTAAAATGTAATGTTGATGGGAAAGTTAATTCTCTGAATAGGTAAAAATTGACTCTTATTCTACAGTCTCCTCTGTGAAGAGAGGAATAGGTGAATTTAGAGGCTGATCTGAAAAATTATATTGAAATACTCGTGGACTGCCCTTTTCATTCGTCCCATACTGTTACATCTCTCTCCTCCTGTCTCTGTCCTTCTGTCTGCAATTCCCCATTAAACAGACAGCAGCTCAATTTAAGTGACTTCTGTTTTAATGTAAATTAGACATTGAATTAAAGTCAATTCATGCCCTGATTTTTTGAAGCTTAATTAAGACAATAGAAATTCTTAGACTTAAACATAAGCAAACAGTACCTCACGCAACAAGATAAAGAGAGCTGGAGGTAAACATCAAAACCAGCCAACACTATTTACAGTATCATGTAGGCTGAAGAGCAGAGACTGTGTTAAGAGGAATACATTACAGAAAACAAATTAGTCAGCAAGATAGAGGAGTCCCTGTGCAAATAGCCGCGGCTGTTATATCCATCCTCATGAGATAACTGTGCCCATTAGACGGTTAAAGTTATTGTGGTGTTGCTGCACAGGCTAAGCTTCAGAAATCGCAGCAATTGGTCTTCAAACTATGATGCAGACAGAAAGCTCTCCTCATCTCTTCCCCTCTGACCTGCGTGAGTGTGGGTGTCTGTGTGGGTGTGTGGGTGGGGGGGTGCACATGTGCACAAGATAGAGAGGGGGGAGGGTAAAGACAGAGAAAGAGATATGAGAGGGTGGGGCCGGGCTGTCTGCCACCCAGGCCCAGAGAACATAAAGAGAAAAATACGGCCATAAAAGCTCTCTATGACTATGAATACTAATACTGACTCTGTGAGCCAAACCAACCAAGTCTGTCCCCTCTGCGTTCCTCTCTGTCTCGCTCAGAGAAATGATGTGATTCAAAATAAGGTGAAAATAGCGCTCTGCATAGGCACCATTGTACGGCTTAGGACATTTACACCATGTTATACACAATATAGCAGCAGTACAGACAGAGAGAAAGGAAATAGCAGAAACAGTTGGACATGTACTGAGCCTTTGCTTGTTGGTCTTTGAATAGGTGAGGTTTTTTTTTTAGCTATGTTGTGATGTTTTCTACACTGATGTAATTTTTAATCTTATTAGTTTTAATGTTTAATGACAACAGGATGTATAGTTATTTGAATTATTAACAGAATTGAGAAACTGATTGGTAGCAGTGTTAGTAAATCAATGCATTGTCGTGTCTAAAGCGTTAATATGAATTTTTGTTGTTGGATTTCTGTCCACATGGGCCGAAGCAAGTTAATGTGCTGTAAACAAAAACACGTTGCTTTCTGCAGTGGAATTTATCCTTCATGTCCTGCTTCCTGCACGCTCTAACGGGTCTCTAACGGGATCACATCTGACCCGGACAATCTTCTGCGTTCTTCATATCTGGAAGGAAATGTCTGGATAATGCCAATTTTCCTGAGTTCATCTCTAAAAACTGCTTAAAATGGAGGTAGATAGACAGACCACTGATTTTGATACTCCTTGTTGGAAGGTTAACATCAGCTCATTCACATTTGAAACACAAAACAAATCATGTCTAAAGTGGAAAAAAAAAATGACATGAAGTTATTTAACCATACATTTAAATATCTAAACATATCTAAGTAAACACACTGTAAATAGAAACCAACGTAAAATAAAATAGGACAATACACTAAATAAATAGTATTAAGTATTAAAAATTCAACACTTTATTAAACCATGATGTTAAATCCACTGTATTTGCAGCATGAATGCCTGATGTTTCTCAAAGCATGAAAAGGCCAAGTATCGATTTTTCCCCCATTTCAAAACAACATAGTGTGACAAATCTTCTCAGCTTTGTGGTTGGCTGCACTGTAAACGGATACTGTAAACCAGTTACTCTCTTTCTGTTAGCTCGCAGAGTAGCTTCTCAAGAAGTGTGTGCAGGCCAAGTGGTTGATGCACCATTTCCATTAGTATATTTCTTATGATTAATAAAAAACATTTGCTGTTCCAGCCACAGGGGTCAAAACTCAGATCTTGAGGATAACAGGAAAATCATGTTTCCATTCTCCTTTAAAATATTTTACTTTTACATTTAATCATTAGTAAAGTACCTGGTCTTGATATATGATCAGTATTAAAAACTTAAATTTAGTTAATATTGTCATTATTTTTTTTGTTAACACATTTTATTTAGCTTTTTTTTATTTTCCACTTGTATCATCAGCTGTTTCCATGCTGTGGTTTTCACATTTCTAAAGTCCTTTCTGTATTTTTTTTTTGCTCAGTTCCTCCCTGCAAATACCTGTACTTTCATGGTTCCCCCTCGCAGCGAGCTTTCACTGACAAATGTTGGAGGACAGAAGAAAAAGTGGTAATCTCTCAAGCATTTCTAATGAGTTTTTCTCCTACAATTATTTGATAAGAGCAGACAAGACTAGAGGCAGCATGTATGATACACTAGCTGCGACTGCCGAGGTGAGAGCTCTGCTGATTACACACAGTGCCATTTACACATAGAAACACACACACACACACACACACACACACATATATGTACACACATAAGCATGCACACACCCAGAGGCCTATATGGTCCGTCATCTTAGAGTGCAACACTCCTAATAATAACATGAGAGGCTGAAGTTATGACTGGCAGGCACATTTAAGTTACCAATGTAGGTCTCCTTATGCTGAACACACACACACACACACACACACACACACACACACACACACACACACACACACACACACTCCCTCTACTCCTTACAACCCCTGATCCTCACCACAGTTCAACTCTCGCTCCAGCCACAACCACACACACTACCCCACTTTCAACACAGACTACTTACAACACTGAGTCCCAGTTGCTCCCTCTGCAGGTAGGGCAGGTTCCTGCGCTCCAGGCTGGCCAGGTAGTGCTGCAGTCTGGAGTAGGTGTAGGGGTAGCAGTAAGCAAACTGGTAAACATCGTCCTCTCTGTCGAAGCAGAAGGCGAAGGACATGACGTAGTTGCGCCGGTGGTCAGGGCAGCGGTAGTAGTACACGTTTTTGGCGGGGAGCCTCTGCCTGCAACAGCAAAGCACAAACACATCATGGAGACATTACAGAGGTCAGTTACAGGACAGATCTTTTAATGAACAGTGCACTGCAATTTTGCAGTAGGAGAAAAGTGCAGAAGCAAAAACAAGAGTTATACAGAGAAATGACAAACAGTTAAAATAATTCTCATCAACTTTTGTTTGTCGTCTTCCAGGGAGGAAAAAAATGAGGACATAGGGATAGAGCGGGATGTCCCTTGGTAAACATCCGCCTGGAAAATCTAAGAGATAGTTATCTTATATATACTGGAAGGGTAAATGTTAAAACAAACCAAAGAATAATCATAATTTGTTTATTTTATAATTTGCATTTGCCTTCACCTGCCCAAACTCAACAATTCTCTAATTAAGTATCCAAAATAAATAAATAAATACAATCTGAAGATAGATTTGATTTAATCCAGACTGAACTATTATTCATCATTAATCACAACATTGCAATAGTACATTTTTCATAAAAACACCCCAGTTCCCATTTATCATTTTAAGCAAACCCAAGCAGGAAAAAAATAACAATAAACATCGCAAATAGATTTATAATAAAAAAGGATGTGAGCAGCAAAACAATGTAAATTAAATTACAAAGAGTGAAAAATTATCAAGTAATGTGATAGATTCAAAGGCAAATTAACTTAATTACTTAAACATCGCTCTCTTCCAGAATTACTGTGTATCCTCAAGGTATGTGATTGTAAGTCAGCAATGTGGCCAATTGGTGTGTGTGTTTTAATGGCACTACTTTCTAAATGACCAAATTAGATTTGAACCTCGGCAACTATGACACTATGGTAATATATGAGAGCTTTTGCATAATGTTTTCGGAATCGCAATCTGAGTGAAAAGCAGAAAATGTGATTGCAAATAGTTTATGGGCTTTAAAACATGACTTTCATGTTTTATTCATTATAACTGAACTTGTAAGTGTGTGAGCGATTCTCAGACAGTAAATGAAGTGATGGACGAGTAAGAATCGAATCTGTGTGGGTTTATATTGTGTTTGTAATGTGTTGCATGCTTAGTGCTTCTCTTCCATGTCGTTGTGTGTGCTATTTGTGAACTGAATTGTGCATCGCATGTTGTGTGTTGTATGCTGGGTCCTGGGCTAAATAAAGCTGGCATGAACGATCACTGGGGTCCAGGACAGTGAGAGTGCATGTTTTCTTTTCACACTCTTGATCTGTCTGTCTCCCTCTTCCTCTCTTTCCTCATTTAGCCCTCATCCACTGAGACATGCTGACAAGGATGTTGCATGCATGCAAGTGACTGCCTCATTTCCCTCTTCCTCTTTCTCCGCTTTTCCTCTTTCCTGTTTTTCTCCAAATCTCCCGTCTTGTCCTGTCACTCACTGACTCCACCTTGACAGTTTACGTGAGGCCGACCGAGCATCGGGGAACAACAGTGCTGCCGAAGCAGCTCTGGCAGAGGAGAGAGTGAGGATAAAAGCAGGAAGAAGATGAGGACGATGAGTGATTGGTGGGTTTGGGGTGTTGGGAGCAGGAGAAAGGTGGAATAAGGAGATAAGGGGAAGATGAGAGAGCAGAGCAATGGCAGATCTGGGCCTGATACAGAATATATATGGGAAGTGGTGGCGGCTAGCAGCGTAGCGGCTGTGTGATGGTGGTGCTGGCTACTGAGCTAGCGTCTCTGGCAACAGATTAGATGAAGATGCTATCAGGCCTGTGATAGGAACAGCACCTGATAATCAACAAACAGGACAGACTGCTTTATGCTAACTCAGACAGAGTGAACTTCTTTCCCTGACTCACCCCTAAAAAGGGAGGACAGGGAGGAGACGCAGGAGTTTTATGTGTTTGCTCAGACACCTAATACATCAGGTTTGGCTACAGACTTGCATAGAGATGCACAGCGAACACACCTGCGCGCATTTTCAAACACTTGAAGACGTCCCTGCAGGTATACAGAGGAAAACAAAAAGCTAAATCACACGGCCACTCTCAGACAGAGCGGGAGAGGAGAAGAAAGGCAGGGCTGATTATTCCTTCAGAGGAGGAGAAAGGAGAATGTATCTGCATGTGGCTATCTCAGCAGAATACTAATGCAGGCGGTGGCGAGCTACCACACCCTGCCTTCCCACTGGACCAAGCTTAGCAGCCCAGTCTTAGATGGACAAAGGAGGAGAAGATAAGGTTAATCTTGGGGAAAAAAATGACATGGAAAGTAAATTCCTCAATTTTTTATCTAGCATGAATATTATTCCTGAGACCGCATGAAGTTTAAAGTAGAGGATAGTGTGAATAAAAACTGACAAGGACAAAACACCCCTCCACATGACACGATTGCATACGCATATACATACCCCCCACCGCACACACCCACACACCCACACACCCACACCCTGGCTGTGCCAGACCTCTGAGGTGCAGGTTAATTAAAATAAGATGACACCTCACCTCTTTACATATTTGGCTTAGTCCGTCCACACAATCCCACTGATCTCTGTTTCTCTTTCTCTCAGCTGCGTGACCTTGCCGCAGACTGGAAAAGTCCCGCCTATTGATTTTAATTACTGCTGCTTGTCCCATCACAGCACTGTAGTTATAGGCCAGAGAAAATAGCTCTGTGACTTTCTTATGGAAAGAGAGTGGCTGCAAGGCCCAGACCACAAGCTAAGGAAGAGGCTGTAACTGCTTTAGGTACCACAGTCACGCACACAAATATATAAAAAAGGACAAAATCTTCAGGACATGCACACTAATGCACACAGTCCCTTTGGTTTTTATCTAAGCGGTGGCTGCTCCTGCTCGGCAGCTGGCAATTTGTTTTATCTAAATGGTACCTCCCTGTGCTTCTCCCCTGCCCATCTCTTGACGTGGTACAGTGCCGTCGCTCCCAAACAGAATTATCACTGCATGGGATGAGGAAAAAATGGAGAAGCTTCCCCCCAGATGATAACGCACTCACACGTGGTTTTACAATTCGGTGATTACAGAGACAGAGAAACACAAACACACACACATACACAAACAGCAATATGCAAACAGTCGCAGGCTGAAACAACATGACAAATTCAAACCCTGTGTGAGCTTCATCAAGGTCATTCCTTTAAAAGGGACAAGTTAACTTCCAGTGTCTCATTGCAGCCTTACAAAATGAGGAGAAAGAAGCTAAACAGAGGAACTAAAACACTGGACAAAGACACCAACAAAGTAACTGACAAACAGAGAAAGAGACGTGAAGATTCAAAGTCAAAGGGACAAAACAGGGACAAGGGGAGAATGACAATGGAGAAGGTTTCATGGAGAGCTAGCAGGCGGCCTTTGGCGAGGTGTCACTGCTTGCCTGGGCTTCTCTACATCTGAACCATCGGCAGCGACAAACTCCCGCTCTGATTTTGACGGCGCTGGTGTCTCTCTGACATCCTGAGATGAAGGCCTTTAAATTGGTGGCTTTCATACAGGCGACATCTTGTCTATATTTTCAATTCAATCAAGCGTAGAGGACATGCCACTCACTGCTGATATGAGCTCTGCCAAAGGCAAAAACGTACAGGATCATACTCACAAGGCATGTGCGCACACACAAGAATGGTGAGCTCTGAGTATTCAGAGCATGCTCACACACACACAGACACAGACAGACACACAGACACAAACAGACACATACACTGATCCACTCCCTTTATTTCATTTTCTGTCTCTGCGTTGTCTCTTTCAGCTTTCAAACGTTCATCTTGCCAACTGTTAAATGTCGTCCAATATTCCCATATAACTGTCAGGATCCACGGCTCCCGATCTAATTTAGGTCCATAGTTGGTCCGTTTGGCAAACATCTGACTTTGAATGACATGTTTCTTTACTCCCTCTGTGTTACCATGCCAATAATTGAAGAGGCAATATTTCTGGGCACTCTAAAATGACGCCAGATGTTACATAGGCTCATTGTTTTTAAAACACGGCACAGTGTTCTCACTCTGCATACCAAGTCAAGCAGAAAACAGCCTCTGAATCATCTGAGGAGCGTCAACCGTGTGGCTGCTTATATTCGTGTGCAGAGAGGTGAGCATATGTGCATGTGTGCGAACATGACAGCAAACACTTTTTCAGGCATCCATCTTTTTCTAATGCAAATCTAATTGCAACAAAGCTTTCTAGAGACACTGTTACTAGGCAACCTGTGCTTGCTTTGTAATATGGTCGGCATGCTGTATATTATATGTGGTGGTATATTTATTAATCTGCAGCTTCACGAGAACATGTCTCAGTTTGGGACTATATTAAACGACCAGAGAAGAGAGATAATCACATGTGCAGTGCAGGAAGTCATAGACAGAGTGTGATGTGATGTGTGTGAAGTGTGGCAGCGCTGAGGAGACACTTAGTTTATCACCATTTTCCGAGGTACACCCTAACTTTCCGCAGCAGTGTTTGAGTGCAGGCGTAAAGTGGAGAAGAAGCACATTACAACTGGAGGCTGATGATGTGAAATAGCTGGGATTAATGCCGCCGGTGGAGCCCACTTGCTAGCAGCGGAGAGGTTTCCCAGGAGGCAATAACACTTGTGAATTATGGGACTTTCCTGTAACGAGATAGCATGGACTCGCACACCTGTGGAGACAACGGGCCGTTAGCACCTCTTCTCAGGTCAACAACAGAAATCTGATGAGGCTGAAACATGACGGCGTCGGACACTCTCCCCTAATGGCTGCATCAAAACACCCAGAAGGTCCACTTCCATCAGAAGGCCTTTTAACCGCTTCCTGTAAGAGCCCGTCTTTAAAACCGGGTACCTCGCCGGTTACGATCCCATATTCACATATTTTACAGGCAAATTTAATTAGTTAATTTGTCGCAGGATTGGCAGCCTTTAGACTGCAATGATATCCAAGGTGAGTTTGCCAAAGCAAGTCAGTCAGTATCACATCACATCATATCCACAGTGCTTCACCTGAGTTCAGATTATGCAGCGGGCGTAAAATAGGAAGTTATTTCCATAAAATTCTGAAAGCAG